GCAGCTTTGTTCTGGGTGGAGCAGTAGGGGGCGGAGCTCAGCGAGCAGCTTTGTTCTGGGTGGAGCAGTAGGGGGCGGAGCTCAGCGGGCAGCTTTGTTCTGGGTGGAGCTGTAGGGGGCGGAGCTCAGCAAATAGCTTTGTTCTGGGTGGAGCTGTAGGGGGCGGAGCTCAGCGAATAGCTTTGTTCTGGGTGGAGCTGTAGGGGGCGGAGCTCAGCGGGCAGCTTTGTTCTGGGTGGAGCTGTAGGGGGCGGAGCTCAGCGAATAGCTTTGTTCTGGGTGGAGCAGTAGGGGGCGGAGCTCAACGGGCAGCTTTGTTCTGGGTGGAGCTGTAGGGGCGGAGCTCAGCGAATAGCTTTGTTCTGGGTGGAGATGTAGGGGGCGGAGCTCAGCAAATAGCTTTGTTCTGGGTGGAGCTGTAGGGGCGGAGCCCAGCGAATAGCTTTGTTCTGGGTGGAGCAGTAGGGGTCGGAGCTCAGCGAATAGTTTTGTTCTGGGTGGAGCAGTAGGGGGCGGAGCTCAACGGGCAGCTTTGTTCTGGGTGGAGCTGTAGGGGGCGGAGCTCAGCGAATAGCTTTGTTCTGGGTGGAGCTGTAGGGGGCGGAGCTCAGCAAATAGCTTTGTTCTGGGTGGAGCTGTAGGGGGCGGAGCTCAGCGAATAGCTTTTTTCGGGGCGGAGCGGTAGGGGGCGGAGATCAGATCCAGGAAGAACACGACAGGTTTGATTGAAATGATCATTATTATGGAGAGCAGATTGATCAAATCAATTTCATTGGTTGAAGAAGTTTCACAGGAACCCATCAATCAATTTAGCATTTCATTAAAAGCTCCTATCAAAGGGGGTGGAGCCTCAAAACATCTGACGTTAGTGTAAGAACGAAGCTCTGAGCTGATGGAGGAGAAACAGAGCAGGTGGTTTCCACGTGAAAGCAGAGGCAGCCCCGCCCCCACGCCGCGCTCTCTGACCCCTCCCTGTCTTCCCTTCAGCAGAGGACGGCGCCAGCTGCGGGGAACCAGCCCGGCCGCTGCAGCCGCTGTAGGAGGCTGCTGGGAAACGGAGTCCACCGCAGACCGGTGAGGCTTGGTGGGGGGGGGCAGTGGTTAGAGGAGGAGCGGGAAAGTGACTGTTTGTGTTTTCCAGGATTCTGAGTCCAAAGACCGGTCCAGTTTGGTCTTCTGCAGTCCCACCTGCTCCGCTCTGTTTGGGAACGAGCAGCTGAACCGTCCTGACCAATCCAAGGTGAGTCCCCCCCACCCCCGGCTCCTTACGCTCTCCTCAGCCCCGCCCCTCCTTTAACTGGGTGTCTGTGTGTCCTCAGCCCGCAGTCCCGGTGCCCCCTAGCAGAACTCCGCACCACTACACCCACAACATGTCGTCCATCGCCGTCCATTCGCTGCCCCCCGCTGATTTATCCTCCTCCTCTTCACCGCCGCCTGCCTTCCCCCCTGCCTCAGCCATCACCATGGAGACGAAGTGCCACTCTGACAGCCTCAAGGTGGGACTGGTAACCAGTTTATCCAGTTCAACTGTTCCACTAGGTGGCTCACTGTTTGACCTGTCTCTGATTGGCTGACAGGTTAAAGTAAAGCTGAAGCCCCGCCCACGGACCGTGTTGGGGGATGAAGCTCAGAACTCAAAGAAGATGAGAACATCTCGTTGGCGACGCTGGAGCTTCAGCATCACGCTGAGCAGGTCAGAGTCTGAGAGGGAAATGGGCGGCCATGTTGATCAGGGAAAGAGGACCGGAGGGCTAATTGGTTCCTCCAGGTTACAACTTCAGCACCGGAAGTTCTCTCAATGTTCTACTTGTCAGATCTTTGGATCCTGGTTCTGTTGACCTTTTGACCTTTGTTCTTATACCCACTCTATCTCAGAGGTGCCTATGTCCCCAAAGAGGCGGTTTCCATGCCAACAGAAGACGAAGTGGATGAGCTCCTAAGGAAGTTTGGGGTATGTTTACGTCCTGACCCGCTACCTAAAGACCAGCGGCGGTGCTGTTTCTGTCAGCAGCAGGGAGACGGGCTGACAGACGGACCGGCTCGCCTGCTGAACCTGGACCTGGATCTGTGGGTGAGTGCTGCTGCCACGGTTGTAGCTGTGCCCATCAACCCGAAGACTGACCTGTGCTGTTTTCAGGTGCACCTGAACTGCGCGCTGTGGTCCAGCGAAGTGTACGAAACCCAGGCGGGTGCCCTGATCAACGTGGAGCTGGCGCTGAGGCGGGGCCTCGCCCTGCGCTGTGCCCACTGCTCCCGCACCGGGGCCACCACTGGCTGCAACCGGCTGCGCTGCACCAATACCTACCACTTCACCTGCGCCCTGCAGGCCCATTGCACCTTCTTCAAGGTAAGGTTCCTGCAACGGATCCCGCCACCAATGCCGTCCGACCTGCCTGAGGGTGCTCAGTGCTCCTCCTCTCCGTCCTACAGGATAAGACCATGCTCTGCCACCTCCACAAGCCCAGGATGCTTCCTCTGAGCGGGGACAGGTCCTCTAGCTCCTCCCCCTTCTCCACACCCGGCCCCGATCTGGCAGCGAGCGCCGACCCGTACGACTCGGAGCTGCGCTGCTTTGCCGTGTTCCGGCGGGTCTTCGTGCAGCGAGACGAGGCACGGCAGATCGCCGCCATTGTCCAGCGAGGGGAGCGGCAGCACACCTTCCGGGTCGGCAGTCTGCTGTTCCGAGCCGTCGGTAGGCTCCTCCCTCAGCAGATGAAGAGCTTCCACAGCCAGACGGCCATCTTCCCTGTCGGTTACCATGCCAACCGCTTCTATTGGAGCATGCGCCACAGCAACAGGTGATCCTTGATTGTTTTGTATTTTTCAGGTCCAGGTTGCTGAGGGAGAGACTGGGGGGTCCCCAATGCCCCCCCCCCCCAGCATCTTTATTCAGCCTAAACCTAAACCTGCTTCAGGAAACTATAGAAACCGGATCATCCTAATCGGTCTGGTTACACTGACCCCATTTCCTCTACCGCCGAACCCGATTCCTTACCACCGTTTACACAGCACGCTAGCACGGTTCCTCGACTCCTAGTCCTACTCCTAGTGGCGATCTACGGTACTACTGCTTCCTCGCCCTGATCTGTTGTGGTCAAAAACCTCATGTATAGATTTTTACGTTTCTCCTCTTGGCGCTGTTCGGGTCTCGGTCATACCCCCCCACCTTCAATCTTTAGGGAAACTTTGCGATTATGTTTTGTTCCGTCCAGCATCGCCTGGATAGGATCCTTTTTTCAAAGTGCAATAAGAGCCTCGGTCTCAGCTTTCTCCCAGGTCGCACCGCGCTCTGAAGCCATTTTTAAAAATGTAGTGCTGAGAAGGATACAGTTGTTGTTTACAGTTCTTCTTCTTCTGTTTTGTGGCGGTTGGTAAGCAACCTAGTGATGTGCATTACCGCCAACTACTGGAAGCTGACTTTAGAGATGGTGTGGTCTGCTCATGCACCTTTGTTATGTGAGAACCAAGCCAGAACTGAACACCCCCCCGCCCCCACCCCCCCCAAGCCCTACTGAGGAACTAGTACCATGCTACCGTGGTTCGGTTGGGTCCGGTTCAGCTTGCGTGCCATTTAGACTCAACAGTTAGCTTTATTACCGAGCTCGGACCAATCTATGCAAAGGGTAGTGGAAATGGGGCGATAGGCCCCGCCCACTGACTGTGATCCGCTTCCTCTCCAGACGCTGTAAGTACATGTGTTCCATCGAGGAGCAGGATGGCCGGCCGCTGTTCAAGGTGAAGGTGGTGGAGAAAGGCCACGAAGATGTCGTCCTGACGGGATCCTCACCCAAAGGTGAGTGACGGCTGACCTTGGATCAGACCAGGAGCTGCTTTTCAGGCCTCTGACTCTTCCTGCTATGTGCAGCTGTGTGGGCCCAGATACTGGAACCAGTGGCACAGCTGAGGGACTCGAGTGGAACTCTGAAGCTCTTCCCAGTTTACCTGAAAGGAGAAGATTTGTTTGGTTTAACCACGTCTGCAGTGACCCGGATCATCGAGTCTGTAGGTCCATCGCTTCAGCACCAACACACTGACTTTGTCCCCATCTGTCTCTAATCGTCCCTCTATTTGTCTCCATCTCTGTGTCTGTGTCCCTGTCTGTCCATCTCTGTGTCCCTGTCTCCGTCTGTCCCTCTCTGTCTACAGCTGCCAGGGGTGGAGGCCTGTGAGCGTTATACGTTCCGTTACGGCAGGAACCCACTGATGGAATGGCCTCTGGCCTTTAACCCAACAGGGTCAGCGCGCTCTGAACCCAAAGTCAGCCAAGCCAAGAGGTAATGACATCACTTCCTTTTCCTGTGGAGCTACAGTTTCTTTTTAGTGGGGTTTTTAGTTCATCCAGGCACCAAAGGAGGCTAATCTGAGGGTAAAGCTTCAGTTTAGAAAGCAAATTAGTTTTAATGATTGAAAGGAACCTTCAGAAGATCCAGTAATAGAAACCATCAGAGTGTGGAGGAACTAAAACAGCTGCGATATCGGCTACAAAGATCCAGAACTATGGAGGATTAAGGTCAATGAAAGCTGCTCATGCTGAGAACTTCTACGATTAATTAGATCAGATTCAGCCATAGAAGACCTCTCATATGGAGACTGTTGCTCTGTTCAAAATCCTGGGCTGCGTCCTTAGAAGGCCAGATCCGAAGGACGATGACATCATAGCGCGGCGCCGAGGTCTGGTCGGATTCCAAGAGTCCTCGTTATGCGGCCTTATACTGCGTCCTTCTTTTTGCCCGATTTGAAGGACGGGTCTGATGTATCCTCGGTGTCCCCGGATATCCCAGGATTCATTGCGAGACCAAGCAAGCCGTGATCAGAGGAAAGGTTACTTAGC